TCGTTGATGATCTACATCTCATCTCGTTCATGCACTGCCTACTCATAGCTCAAACCTCGTGCAGTTGCGGATTTGGTTTCATATTGAATTGTAGCCATGATGTCAGTTCAGCATTACTAGATAATCGTCAACGTTGTATTTTTTATTGTATCATATTGCTAATGCTAAAAAACGCTTTTGTATTTATTACTCATGCCTCGCTCTTGGGCAATGTAGCAACCTTTTCCTGGAACAACTTCTCTGCCTTAGCCCAGACTGGAGTATTTCTCCAATCCTTCAAAGACAACAGACTTGGTAATAAGTCCTTGCTGAATGCCTCACTTGCCTCTCTTGGCAATAAACTTGGCAAGTGATCAATACTGATGACACTTAATCTTGGTTCTCCCTTGACCTCAACTGGAACAGTTGGCTCTGAAAATGTGGTTGCAACAGTATAGATTGGAATTGGGTTGTTGGGGTTGGTGGTATCAGCACTGACATCGCAGACGACTGACAATTTGCGGTTTGGGGTATCGAGGCTTTGCATGTCGACGAAGTTTGGAATCTTGGACATGAGGTATATGCAGTTAATGAAGATGTCACTCTCAACAATCTCTGGGAATGGCCCTCCCTTGGCGGTCTCAGCCATATCCCACTTCAACACATTCTCAGTTGGCACACCAGCTCTCAAGCAGAGATCAACTGCTCCACTTCCACATCTGCCTAATGCACCGATAACCAAAACTCGTGGTGCCTTGCCAGTCTTTTCTTGTCCAGCTGCGATTGCCTTCTTAACATCTACAATCAATTCATCTTCGTTGGGGTAGCTCGATACGCTTGGGAAAGGCTCGGATGCTGGGTGGGTGAGTTGCCATGCCCAGTTTTCGAGTGCCAATGCTGCACCAGCAAATCCAGCATGGTATCCAAAGGCTGCAACTCTTCTGCCTCTGTCGTCTGTCAAGAATTCGAGATCTAAGAGAGTTCCACCTCCACGAGGAAATCGTGATAGAACGGTGTCCCAACCTCCCTGTTGTTTATAACAATGTGCGAATTGTACGTGGACATGCTCAAGAGGAACTTATAGATAACTGTTAGACGCATCCATTGATATCACATCAAGCAGAAACTTACAGTCTTCGACGGGCAGTTCCTTCAATCCAATGATAATGTGATCCTTTGGTGCTTGTCTCCATGTGTTTTCTGGCACAAGTGTAGCACCAACTTTCTCAAACTCTTCGTCATCGAATATACGCTCTGGGCTGCGCTCAACGTTGATTGTGTATCCAGCATCGATGAGAGCTTTGGCGGTAGTGGGGGTAAGAGCTGATCGATGCTCAAGGGCCTTGCCCACTGATGATCGCATTAGTAGCTTGCGGAGCATTATGCCATTGATTACTTACATTCAGAACGTAGGTGGAGAGTGGTTCCAGACATTATGAAATAATTGATTCGTGATTTGAATGTTAATTGAAGTTTTCGAGTTTATTCACAACTTCAAGTTTTGTTTGGTGAGGGGGATACTTTTCTGCCCCATTGAGTCATCCAATTATCCATGTCACCGCCTCCGGGATCGCACCATCCATCAAACTTCACTTCACTGCTCTGAGCCCCCACATTTTATCCCCTAGAGTGCGGGAAAATGGCGCCCATTGTGGTCTGTGCAATATACCTTGTATGAAGGAATATGATTGGTTAGATTGGCTTCTGTAATGCTTTTTCAATCACTCTGTTTATAAATAGGAATCTTGATTTCAAAATATAATTTTCTAAAAAAAATTAAAAAAGAGAAGATCAGAAGTTAGTATGTATTATTATCTTCAAAATTTCGAAATAGAAATAATATTAAAAAGATTTTATATTAAAGATTGAATGTAAATATGAGATTAAATTCCAAATATCCTGATGTTCTGATTGGTCACTAAGATACCTGTTAAGCGAGGGCGCCGAATGTCCGCACTCTAGGGGATAGTTGAAGAGCCATCATCAACCATCGTCTGGAGCTGAATAAGTACCTACTGTAGCTCCTGAGTTAAAACAACGCAACAATTGTTCAATTGAGAATATTCCATGATCTCCTTAAATCATAGGCAAAGACTCAAGGAAACGAGATTAGCCAACCTTCATGAATTGTATGAGGCATTCAATACTCTCTATTCAATTTAAGGAAGTCGGTGATGTCTCTTTTACATGTAGTGAATCCGTGTTGCTCCCAAAGAATCTCTCTCAATATGGCAGTCTCTTGTGGACGGCAAGTTTGTAATCTGCTTGTGCGGTAGGGTGTGTAGTCAATCACTCTATTGATAAAGTTTGCTTTTCGACACACCACCTCGTTGTTTTGTTGATTTTTGGATAGTATCAAACTTTCCTGTTTATATTATTTAAAAGTACGCTCTCATAAATCCAATCCATATCGCAGTCATGTCGGCCAAAGATGTACGAACTCATATCATGCTGGATCTTGAGATAGCCGCACACCCATTGAAACACAATCCTGCGATCATCCAGATCGGCGCTATTCATTTTGATATCGAAACCGGCGAGGTCTTGAAGACTTTCTCCATAGACATCAACTTGGAATCATGTATTCAATCGGGCTTAATCACTGATTCAGATACACTTCAGTGGCTTGAGAAAAACATTCCGGATACATTGTCTGCCAGCCAAAACAGCAAAGTAGCACTCCAAATTGCTCTCAAAAGACTCACCACCTGGCTCTCCAGTTGCCACAAGTCTAATCAAGTTAGCATCAAAACCAACTATCCAGCTGCGAGATTCAACCCGAGCGACCTTCAAGTAATGATCTGGGCATATGGTAGCACCCAGGACTGCCGGTGGATGGAAAGTGCCTACAAAGCAGCGGATTTGAGAAAGCCGTGGATGTACTATAACGATCTCTGTGTTCGAACTTACTGCGAAGCGGCTTTCTCAATTACAGGAAGGAATATCCGACGTGAGGTGGACAAATCTTTCGTCGGCAAAAAGCACGATGCTATCGATGACTGCAAGCACCAGATACTCTACCTGACCAAGTGTCGTGACGCACTTCGAGGACTTCAAGGCTCTGCCATTGCTCCAGTTCCTGTTGGACCGATTTCGGAATCTTCAGTGAAACGACCCAGGACTGTATTGGATGACAATTATTACAGAATGGGTTTAGACTAGCAGCGAACTTCTGGCAAACCAGCCAGACCAGCATCTACGCCTACAGGAAGTGGCCGACATTGAATCACACTTGGCTGGAATGAGTTCGACTTCCAATATTGCCATGCGGAATCTCCAGCTGACAAAATTCTCACAGCGGTACACATCCTTTGCCGGGATTGAGACATATCTCCTCGAGGGGAAGTAAGTAGTGACATATGATTTGTTGGAACGAATCTCGTCTCATGGAGACTATCCATTGTCATAAATTGGGTCCAATAAATGATGGGCGTTTATCATGGAGCTAGCTAGAACGATTCTAATGAAGTTGCAATACATCCTTCTAGCACGCATCGTCATGTGCCATTTGAATTTGAAACTTATCGTTGTGAGACAATTTGATTCGTTTTTCTTTCTATATTCTCAGTGATTTCGCTATTGTAAACAAAGTAACTCACACCTTCCTTATTTTGCCAAATTTACATCTCGCTGCTGATTTAAATTTCACATGGGATAATTAGCCAGAGCCCGAATTCGAATCCTGGGGACGCCTACACTCTCCTCCACAACTCTCTCCACACTCTCATCACCTCGTCAGATCTACTACCTTCAACTCTTTTGCCCAAAGTACCCTCCCGAACTTCGTTTCGTTGTTACTCTCTTATTCGCAGCCCTCTCGCTCTCATGTCAGACCTCAAAGCTCTATCTGCTTCATCACCGTCGATCCCTCCTCGCGACTCCCCTCGATAGCCCTCCTCTAGTATTCGCATTCTCAGGACCAGCTAGCTAATGGCCCCTACGATCCAAATTATAGCGGTAGAAACCCCGAAGATCTTCTGAAATGTTGTCAAACGGCGTCTCGACGCCAACCGGGTATTGAAGGAGAGGGAGAAGAAAATGCTTAGTAGGGAAGACTATCGACTTTTGGAGGTCAGCCTAGATACTAAACCACGCTTGCAGTCAGAGAACTCGGAAAACACCAAGGCAAGCATCTCCTAATCAGGCAGAAGTTTATCGGGCAAACTTACTACACTTTGGTCTTAGTTCACTTAATTAGTTATAGCTAACACATGGCAGATACTGTGATCACAGTGGCTTGAGGGAATGGCGCACGGCTATCCTGAAACAGAGTTGTACTAAAGGGAGGGTAATGTCTTTCCTCCGTTGGATCTGTCTAACATGTCTGACCACGAATCGAAAAAGGTGAAAGCGGAAGTCTGTCAATCAATACTGGTGGGATTTTTAAATGCTTATTTGATGGATGAACGATGGCTGTCTGGTAGACGGAAATGATGCATCGGAGTTTTTTACGGTACTGTATTCTCCTTCCTTTGTTGGACTTCTAATATATGCTGACTGTGGACTAAAATTACATCAATACCATCTTGAAGGTCGACTTTGACCTTGACAGTATGTCAAAACCAAAGAAGCAGATGACACTAGCAAACTTGAGCGCCCCCTGCCCCAGTACTAGGGAAAGACAACGATGACGAGAGAAATGCTTGCGATAGTCCTGAAATGATGGAGATAAGCTCTTTGGCGACGATAATCAGGATGCTTGCGACAATTGCGATCACTACGATGAACACATGAATATGGACGCTAGCACGGACAGCGGTTACTGCACTGAGGGAACAGATTATCTTATGAGCAAGGACAACTGCATCACGTCATCTCTGGTTCTAGGTCGTCCGGCTAACTGACTGGTTATAACCAAAACCAACAACACTCAAAAAAGCATCAAGGTTGAAAATTTTCACTTTCTCGGTTCATGCAAGTTCTAGACAAAACAATCCTGGGGACAAATTTCCATACGTGCCAGTTTAGACAAGAGCCAATGTTAAAAGAAAACAGGAGACCAGTGGTAAAACAATTAGAGCTCAATGATTAAGTGGACGCAAATGGTCATCTTCTAAGTCAGGCACCGTACCATTTTCCACCCAACTTTGTAGCTGGCGGAAGATTGCTGTTGGCTCGCCACCAGCAGCGCCGTAGCAGTGCTTTTTGCCTGGAACTTCGAAGTAGCGGTAGAAATCGCGTATGTCTGGCGAGATTAAGGGGACAAATTTGTGATGTTGCTCAGTGGATTTATAGGTGATGATTTTGTCACTCTGTTTCATGACCGAGTTAATCACTGTCATGACAAAAAGGGGTAGATTTCTGTCCTAATAGGATACAAGTCTCCTGACTTACCAAGCCGTGATAGGTGATTAACTTGCCTCTAGCATCGCGGAATTTGGTCAAGTCCGGATCCGATGTGTCTGCGATAGACTTGTATTGTTGGCTGGCGAAACGAGCAAGACGATTGTTTTCATCACGGGAGAGTTTAGTCAAATCCTTCTCCGGGTCCTTGGCTGCAAACAGCTGGAGCCACTGCTGGCCTAAAGGCCGGGGAGAACCAACGTAGTCCTTTCCAGTGCACTTAGTCTTCGCGAGCGATGATACCATCCGCCACGCAGTCCAATTCATCGCAGGTCACAATGGCCTAGTCGGTGATAGCGTCCAGTTCGCAATTGTAGGGAAATTGGCCTAGTTCATTCATAATCTGCTGCGGCCATTACATGTAGGGGAAGAGCTCGCTTCAGTAGAGCTCAGGTGCCCAAGCCGCGATGCCATCGTATGCGTCGGGATACGATTGAGCCAGTATCGTGCCCTGTCGGCCACTCCCCGAACAGCCGATAAAGTACGAGTATTCAGACCTTTTACCATAGAAGCTCTGGATAAGCGAGTTGCGGATGAGAGACCATGATGGCTGTGAGAAGCTTGCTTAAAAAGGTACGAGTTGCCATGGACGTGACTGGGGGAGAAACCTATACCTCGTCGTGCAAAGCCACATGCGCAAAGTTCTGCAGATTGTGCAAATTGACGTTTCCGGGATTGACAAGAGCGTAAGGTCTCGCATTCATCATACTGCCATCCTCAGTCTCAAGTCCCCAATCAGTTGTGATAGTGGTAAGTCCTTTGGCAAGGCCGCTTTAAACGCGTTAGTGGTCAATTGGACCTGGCCCAGCCACCGCCGCCGACAGCTTGGAGACAGCCATTCCATTTGTCGGTGGGGAGCCAGCCTTCGATCATGATGCTGTCATTTTGCCTGGGATGGGTATAGGTGATAGTAGTGTTACAGAAACTTGTGTTTGGTCGCTCTACTGTAGGCGTACCCGACCTCCAAAAACTAGCAACAGATGCATCAAAGTATGTTACTAGATTGGCTTCTAGGATCAAGATCTCGCTAACAGGAGACGAGGGACTAAAAGTAGACGGGGTGCAGGTTTGAGCAAGAGAGAATGCCATTTTGAGGTGACCTTAAGCGGAAAGAGGATCGATAGGATTCTCCATATACTGAAATGGGTGTATGGTTTTAGTTTGTGATCTAAAATCGGACATCCTGAAAGACCGAGTTGACCATTTATTAAACACGGTGATGACATATTTGAATCAATACAGAAAAAGGACTGATAATTATATCAATTAGGAGTTGATTCTTTTCTTCTCACAATTTCAGTAAATTAAAACAAATGAACAATAAAAAGAGGCCATTTTAATAACAATAGTAGTAGGGAAAGAATTGGAAATTACAATTTTTTGATGTTATGTTTAAACATTTGAGCTACTGCTGTATGTCTTTGTGCTTAGGGTTACGGAAAACTGGTTTTCTCCGAGACCGAATAACAGTGGACTGCTAGAATCGATTTTTTCTTTCTGTGGTTCACTCGATATTTTAGATCAGTAATCTGAATTCAAAATTTGCTTGGCTAGGCAGAAGTAGGGAGCAGAATGAGGCTCAAGACCTGGTTGATCTCCAGTGGCTTGACTGGCAACGCAGATCACGTCACACACGTTGCAAGGAATCCCAACAATCTTTCACCATACTTGAATGGAAATCTAGAACAAGACCTACTGTAGGTGAATGTAATTGTCGCATTGCCTCATTGCAGATTTTATAATCTTAGAGACTCCCGGCTCTACAAACACTGGACGGGGGGAGGATCTTAGATTGCCGATTAGCATTTTGAAATGCATGAATCATGCTGTTGGCGACTTCCGTCTGGTTCTGTAGTCATCTCATCTCCAGTTGCAACGATGCATGTATAGTTTATCCCCTTTAAGAGTGCACGGTCTCCCATCGACTCCGGTCGGCTTTATCTCCGTGGGCTCTCCTAGCGAAGGATGGAATTTTCTCGTCGATTGAATGCTATATAAGAGAACGGCGAGGTAGACAACCAAATCATCTCTGAGTAGCTCGACTTGCATTCATTACCATCTTACCCTATCCAACATAAGTCACTAGCCATGTCTATCACGTCGTTCTTGATGCTCATGCTCCCTGCGGCAAGCAATGCTCTGTATAATTTCACTCCAGAGAATGCGTCAACCTTTTATGATGTAGGTACATGTCTGTCGTTTATCCTCGCAGTTCTGTCCTGTGTAGAAAACAAGCTTAGAGTCCACTGGCCGCCATGCCAAGAACTGACAATTGTTATCAGGCGGAACTACCAACCCAATATTCCTTGCCCGAATCTCAGCTTGTCACATCTTCCGTTAATTCATTCTGGTCCACTCACTTCTTGACCTCGGCCAACTCGACCGAGTATGTTCTCTTGTCGCAGGGCTTCGTACTTCCCTCCGGCACTGTTACAGTAAGGACCTCTCTCCTGGACGCCAGCAACCCAGAAAACTACTGGCAGAGCACAAAAAACGTCCCTCTTCAGAACAACTCAACGAACAAGGACGGAAAACTCAGCATCGAAGCACCTGGCTTTGAATTTTCGAGCAACTCTAATGATAGTATTTCCACCATGGTCTCGAGTGGTTCGACTGATCACTATGAGTATAACCTTACCGTGAAAGCAACAACTCGGGTCCTTCTGAATGCTGGAACGGGTTACTTCTCATGGGGAAACGGCAAAACTTCGCAGTGGTCTCTTCCGAGCTGCCAGACTTCAGGCACGTTGATTCTAGGCGACCAGATCCTCCAGGTCGACGAGGAACGCTCGATGACCTGGTACGATCGTCAGTTCGGATTCGGCGGAATTGACAGCGAATTTACTTGGTTTGGGGTTCATTTCCCAGGTTCGGAAGTCAAGGCCAGCATTTGGCTCTCCGACAATGAGGACCCAGCACAGCATTTACGATTTGCAACAGTTCGTACCAACCACGGTTTGGAAATAGTCCGCTTCAACGTAACAATCGAGCCGGAGAACACGTGGACCTCTTCGAAGTCCAATTACACCTACCAAACAAGATGGTTCCTTGACTTCGACAACGGAGATTTCCTTGACATCAAGAGCGTCCGTAACGACCAAGAGATTTACGCAGAGAACTCGATCTTCTCATCATCACCCTTTACAACTGTAAAGGGACGGTTCTTTGGTCAGAAGACTGGCTTCGCTCTTCTGGACATCTCGCCTCCGACAAGCTTACAAGGGGGCAATGCCGTATTCTAAACAACAAAATGATGGGAACTGTCCAAGGCCCTGGGGTAAAAGCGAGACCGGTTGTAGACCATCGTTTTGAGCCCTTTCGCAAGTCAATCGCTGAAGAAATGAGGGAGAATGGTTTTATGAAGCTCTGTAACAAGTATACTAACCGCCCGTTTAGTTCGAGGCTTGTATTAACATCAAGGAAGTGTACATAAATGAATTTTTGTATTAAATAGAAAAAGAGATGAATTTGTATTCTACAAAACACAATCTAAAAATAAGTGTTGAAATGAAATCTCTTTGATAATCCTACTATATTTATTGATGCTTAATAATAAAAAATGACAATTATAATATTATTATCAGAAATAGACAGCAAGTTGTACATGAACACTAGGTAGTATATATTATAGTTGAATCTTAGATATAGTAAGATTAAAGAGAAAACTCTTCTACGGAGATAAATTATATTACACCGCTTTTGTTTTGTCATTAATAGAATCATTCTGCCAATACAAACTGATCCTGGCTAGCGAAGGCGGTATAACATACCTCCATAGTGGTGCTAGAGGGCTTGGAACCATACTTCCGTCCATATCACATCCTATATGAGGTCCAGATTTGGAGGATTTAACACCATGGACGACGCTCATTCAATGCCGCACTACAGGCAAATGAGATCAGGAGATAGAGGTCAGGAGCTGCCATCTTCGATGAACACTGTCGATGTAATGCTTCTCCAAATTGATCCTAGAAGTTTAAAAGACCAAACTGAAGTTGAAATTACATGCATTTGAGCTAGAGGTGGAAATGTCGAGTCGGGTGAGTGGATATCTAGAATCTTCTTCATATCTGTTCTTGTATGTAAGATGTGCTTGTTATTTGAGGGGAATTACATGGCACATATCCCAGCTGCCTGCTGTACAATAAAACGTTAAAACCTGTGAAGGGTAGATTCCTATCTAGGTTTAAAATTTGGTAAAAGTAGGGCCCCAAAGTCATATTGATTGTTGAATGATTTGATTGCATCTGAAAATAAGAGAGAATTCCCTGATTGAATAGGGAGCGTTTGAAATGACAGCGAAATGCCAAGCCACTTATCATATACCGTGCCGCAATCGAGGATTTGGCGCTATTTGCTTTTTTCGACCAGACTTAATAATAAAATTATAAAGCTTCTAGGGCTTCGGTCGTAATATATCTAATTGAATTATTATACTCGACTACTATTATGATAATTAATTATTAATATATTAGCTAATCAGTAGGGCTGTGCAACTAGATAGTTGTGTACCTAGCATTCAATTAATTAATTATCGATTGTGGTTAGTCGAATTGACTGATTGAAGTACCATCGTGACATTTCACTAGCTAACAGGGGCAGTGGTAGTGATTATGCAGCCGAGCGTGACACCTTTAAATAGTAGTTGTAAGAGTTCTGGTCTCTGCTTATAGTATTCCTTTCATTTTTCAATTACTTTATATTAAATTTAATATTTATTCAATACTACATTATTTATTTATAGAAATTTAATATTTTATTAATAAATAATAATTATTTCTTGATTTAAATCACATTCTTTAATTTGTATACCAATCTTTTAATATATGCCCAAAAATCCATTAAATCTATTCTTTTCTAGAGTATTGTTAGTTTATATTTCAATTTATGAATAGAAGTAGATATAAACAATAGCTTTTTTAGTTCCTTTTTTATTCATTGTTATACTTTTTCAATTAGATTGAGATCTAGTAAAGAGGGAGGCCAATTGAAGTCTTGTATATTGTACTCTAGTTGAGCTAGTCGGGCATGCTCAGAGTGAACCTTTAATCCATCTTTTATAAAAATAAAAAAAGGATCTAGCTCATTGAATAATAAGAAAACAATAAGCTCAAGTATTTAATTATAATATACTAAACTAATAATACCTTTAGTCTCTAGTTTCTTTTTTAGAAAGACTAATAGGGATTTATAGTTTCAGCTGATTATATTCCAGATTATCACCAATACTCTTCCTGAACGATATATCAATTTAATATATAAGGAATATCTCTTTTTATTAATCCTTCTAGTAATTTAAATCCTTTCACTTTTTTCCAATTTAAAAGAACTTTTGTCTGATTATATAACTTTCTTTCAATTACTTCTTCTAGGGTTATCGACAATGATATTACTAATTTCCTATTATCGATAGGTATACACAAAAGCTAGCCTCTTTTTTGTTTACTGCTTTGAAATAAAAAACCTAGGATATGTTATATAACGTTTATAGTTGTTTCTGTATAATTCCCGATAAATTGTATACACCAAAACTTTTACCCCTAAAATGTTTTTGATTTATTCGAAAGTCATTTTTCTTTTATTTCAATCTTTACCTAAAATCCTTATAATTCGTTGAATTTCTTTAACTAATAATATAGAGGATCGATATACCTTTCCTTTCTATATAATTTTATAAGATTTAGATTTAATTATACTTCTTATTATACTTTAGAATACATTTAAATTTTTCTCAATTCAATTTTAGGATTTTCTATTATCATATACCTAAAATATTCTAATTTGATAAGGAATACCCCAATTTTGATGAAATTTATAGGAATCATTTTTATTATTGAATTGAAAAGGCATTTTGAAACTGAATTGAAAAAATAATGATTTTTAGGTTTTTTGTCGAATATTTATAATAAGATATCGAAAATGAGGTGGCTGGGATAAGCTCACTTAAGTGTGCAGTGAGAAGCTTCCAGAACTCTTATAGTAGGTAGTATAGTCGGTAAAGGCGTTGAGTCAGCCTGAAAAAAAGAATTTTTTGAGCAAGTTAGATCCTAAAAGGGTGTAGATCGGGAAGAAATACTGTCTGAAGTGGTTTAAGTCAATTATGGGGGCCTAGTCGTTTCGCTGACTATTTCAGACGCTCCCGTTGAATACAACCAAAGGCGGGGAAGGCCTAATACACCAACAATGGCCATTATTGCTGTGCCCCCTTTAAATACTCGGTAAGGTGGTGTACACTAATGCATGCAAATGTGTGGCACATAAATGTCACTAAAACATTGAGACTACAATCTGCCATAGCCCTGCAAAGAAAACCGAACTGATCAAGCAATCGGACCACTCTGACTATTTGGCTCGGCTTGGCAGGTTGCAAATAACGCGAAAGGCGCAGCAAGTGAATTTCTTTGAATTCAATTTGCTGGAGAGTGCGGGGATGCATCTTTCCGTTCAGACAAGCTGCAATACAGCGCAGTATTAGTAAGTGCTCTTGCAAAAGCAAATCAAGCTTTTTGGCAAATCTTCTCATCTACAGTGATAAAAGCTGAACAAGTTCTCTAACAACATCTTTATTCCATCTGCCGCCAGCTCGTTTAATCATTCGCTGCTTCAGAAAGTGAAGATATCAGACATGCCTAGCACTCTTGCTATTGTTGCTACAGGTGTGATTGCCGTTTATGGCTTTCTCTATGCTCTCCTTCATTACACCCAAGACGCAAGTGAGCCTCCACTAATCTCAACATCTCTTCCGTTTATCGGTACAATAATCCAACTCTCGCGGAAGAAAACTAAATTTTATATTGAGTTAAGGTGCGTTGAAGACTTTCGTATTTGGTTTAGATTCTTGGTGGCTAAGATAATACCGTATCTGTGAACCTGTCTCTGACCTCCAACTACAGAAACAAACATGATTTACCGATCTACACTCTCCGGATACCAGGAGCCAGACTCTATGTTATCAATTCCATGTCGCTGATTCCTATCGTTCAGCTTCAATAAAAAGACTTGGCATTCCCTCCTCTGGAAGCTATGGGAGCCATGAGTGTCTGCGGATCAAGCAAGATTGCGAACGACATTCTCAATACGAATACCAACGGAGAAGAGGGCGATTGGGGTTATTCGATGACATTCTACAAAACGATCCACAAGCCGCTTTCACCAGGGCCTGAACTTGATGCGATGAATCGTATCATGGCCCAGAATGTTACTGCTTCAATCGATGGAATTAAAGGAAAACTTGTTGTATCGCTTTTCGACTTTATCAAGCGCGAAATTGCAATAGCTACGACCGACTCAGTTTATGGACCCCAAAACCCGTTCAAAGATCCTGCTGTTGCAGATGGTTTCTGGTGAGGAGAAACTTTGCGTCCGCAAATGTCTAGTCTAGTCGCTAACTTTATCCAGGAAGTTCCAGCCTGGGGTTATTATTCTCCTTATGAATCTATTCCCATCGATACTAGCCCGAGAGTGCTATCAGGCTCGTGAATACATGACCAGAGCTTTTAAAAAGTACTTTGAAAATGGCGGTCATAACGAGGCATCCGCTCTCATGAAAGCTCGTTTCAATCATAGCACGGAACATAAGCTGCCTGTTGAGGATATTGCAAGATTTGAGGTTGGAAATACGATTGGGCTGCTTTCCAACACATCACCTAGTGCTTTCTGGTTGGTGTACCACGTATATGCCGACCCATCAATATTGGCAGATTGCCGAAAGGAGATTTCCCAGGTTCTCGACGAGGTTACTACTACGAAGAACGGCAAAATCATCACAATTCGCACTATCGATATGACACGAGTGAAAGTCGATTGTCCAATATTAGTGTCCACATTGCAAGAGGTGCTTCGAGTTCACACCATCGGTATGTCAACCAGGATGGTCATGAAGGATCTCTTGCTCGACGGCAAGTATCTTCTCAAGAAGGGAAATACTTTTCTGATTCCAGGCCCCGTTCAGCATACCAGCAAGTCTGCATGGGGTCCCGATGTTGAAGCGTTCAATCACCTGCGCTTCTTACCTGAGAACAAACGTCACAATCCGATTGCCTTTCGTGGTTTTGGTGGCGGAACGACCCTTTGTCCTAGCCGTCATTTCGCAGCCACCGAAATTTTGGCATTTACTGCTCTGTTAATTCTGCGATTTGACGTCACACCTGTTAACGGAAAATGGGATCACATCACTTCCAACAAGGCCGCTCTTTGGGAGACAACAGCTGCACCAGATGAGGATATCAATGTCACAATCAGTCCTAGACACAGTGAGGATCAAAACGTAAAATGGAGGGTTTTGGTGTCAGATTCTGATAAGGCGATACCAATATCTGCTGAAGACTTGTAAAAGTTTTGTTTTTTGTGAACCCCCACAAGGTGTCTTTTCTGTTGGTAAGGTTACAGACATGTAGCTAGCTACTATAGGCACACTGCAACAATGATATTTTCATAACAATTTAAAGACGCCAAATTGAAGGCCTATAGGTACCCTTGAAAGTTCTAGTAAATAAATTACCTTAGGGTTGTCAAGTTATGAGTTAGGCACGAATTTAATATTGACCGAGGCATTGTATGTGAGGAGTATAATGGTAATTAATGGTAGAGCTGTATACATCATTCGCAATCTCAATACTAAGAGGGTTTCTGTTGAAACCCTCTTGCATTCCAGATGGGTAGACAAAAGTATAATTCGGAGGTTCTGCCCATTCGTCGTTTAGAATGCTAACCTATCACGATTTCATTTCCTGGGCATCACGGAATACCGTGAAATTCAGGACATCAATTCATTTGGCCGTCATTGCCTAGGTCGGCTTAGCATAAAAACTACACTAAACTTAACGACTGCCAAAAAAACCTCCGCCAGCTACTTCGGTAGACTAGGTACTAATAGTCGGCTCTTATAAGCGGCCTCCTAGGAACTAGAGGCTCTCACAAAAAGAGCCTCGTTTACTAGATTGCATCATTCGATACACTACTAAGGGACATACTTTGAAAACGGTAATCTAACCTTATGTGGTCAGCTAAATCTGGTCTAAGCTTTTATTGATCAAACCCTAATCTATGCCTAATTAGGAATGTTACAGGAAACACTTACCGTACTAGGTAGGTATTGCTTTACCAAATTGAATAACCATTAGTTATACAGAGATCAACCGTACAAGGTACCTGTACGATATGGTTGGGCTTACGAGTATACTTATTATGGTAGTATAATAAGACTATTCTTAGAAAAGGAGAGAAGGTTCAGGATGTGTGTGAATCAGGTGCTCAATGTTATGTACATGTATCATCACAATAATTTACAAGATAGTAGATGCAAGGAACTGCAGTTCATACAGCCATGGGTGGTTGAGATAATACAGATACGTGAATTGAGAAGACGATAGAGTCTAGAGATGACCGGGAAGAGAAAAGGATTGTATACTATAGGCTTCTTCAGCTTCGTCCGATGCCTACCTGGCACATGCTAGTAAGCAGTATGCAAGCAAGTGGCATTCGAGGCTATTTAGCTCCAACTCTTTTAACGAAGTTACATTTTGTAAAATTTATCGGATCCCGCGTTCCCCCGAACTGATATATTTTAATGATTATATATATATACACTATTAGAGAGTGTATTTTTTTTTAATAATTCCTTTATCAAGATAGTATAAGAAGAAAAGAATACTTATTGATAATTACTATATCTAGTAATTTAAAATGGTCGTTCGTAGATAATAATTGAAATTAAAATTTGACTCGTCTTATAAGACTAGATATGTTTCTTGTTTGTATTCTGGTTTCTATTATATTGAAAGGAAAAGTCTGCTATCTGAAAACAAAACTTTAAACTCACTTAAGATCTCTAAAGGGCCTAAGTCTCCTTTACTAATTGAATAGTATATTCTGTACTAAAATACAAGGCGATTCATCAAAACCATGGAGCCTTCACCACCGGACTCAGTGTTACAGACTCAAGAAGAAAGCATGCCCAATACCCCCAAATCGTTGCAGTTTTATCTCATACTGTTTTCATTCTCTTTTATCAGCTTTGTTGCTGCCCTCGATGGCTCGATAATCGCCACAGCCCTCCCTAAAATCACGAATGATCTTTCGGCTGCCGACAACTATGTGTGGATTGCGAACTCTTTCCTCATTGCTCAAACAGTTGTTCAGCCACTTTGTGCTCAGATATGTAACATATTCGGGCGTTGCGCACCTATGTTCGTCTCGATTTCTCTATGCTTGGGAGTGGGATCGCAGGAGGCTCAAACAGCTCCACGATGCTCATAGCCGGTCGCACCGTTCAGGGCCTCGGATCTGGAGGCATCATGATGCTTGTTGAACTCATTATCTGCGATATCGTCCCCCTCAGAGAAAGAGGAAAATACCTCGGCATTGTCATGTCTTCGACCGCTATCGCTGCCATTTTAGGACCAGCTGTCGGAGGAGCTCTTGCTACAGTAAACTGGAGATGGCTTTTCTAATTAAATCTTCCTATTGCGGGGGTCACCATGGTTTTCATGGCCATATCTCTTCGTCTACATCACGAGAAAGAATCTACGTGGGCGCGAGCACTCTTAAGAATTGACTGGGTGGGAAACTTCATATTCATCGCCTCTCTTTGTTCTCTGTTGGTCGGCCTTATTTGGTGGATCTGTGTTCTCGTGGTCTTCCTGGCGAGTAATCCTCCCAATTGTGCTTGGGGTACTAGGATGGATAGGTTTTCACTTGTACGAGTGGAAACCACCCAATTTTTGCAAAGAAGTCTCCATACCCCCGCGCATCTTCGCGAATCGAACTTCATCCGCAGGCTTCTACATCGATTTCATCTCCTCGGTACTACCAGTGTAGGCAATAGTATACTACAGTGAAACTGTGACGCGTATTAGCATATTGATATTGCAGCTAGTACGTATAGAAAGGAGGTTATACCACTCTCGTATATATTCATATGCCTAAAGAATACCAGCAATATACTGAAATACTAGAATCCAATATAAAATATATATTCCCTATCCAAATTAGGCTAGAAATAAGGGATTCCCATTCAATTTGAAATAAGGAATGGAATTTTATTACCTAATATGAATAGGAATCCCTTTTTCTAGTTTAATTAGGATAGGAATGTATATTTTATATTGGATTCCAATATTTTAGTATATTACTAATAGTATTGAATAACTAAATGATATTGAATACTTTCAGTAGTATTGAATTCCATACCACATACATACATATTTCGAAAAAAACTCTATACGCACCACTGTCTAACCCGTATACGGATTACGGGAAATACTATTGCCTACACTTGGTACTACTCCAGTGGGTGTGCTTTTTCTGGCCTGTCTTCTTCCAAGCCATCAAAGGAACCTCTCCTCTTAGAGCTGGAACAAACTTCATTCCTTATGAGGCTTTTCTCATTGTGACAGCTGGCATGGCTGGCGGGATTCTCTCGAAATTTGGACACTATCGGCCATTGCACCTCGTTGGATTTGTTCTTAGTATTCTTGGACCGGGATTGAATATCATGTTATCAAACACCACCCCCAAAGTTTCTTGGGTCATTTTCCAGATGGTCGACGCCATTGGCCGAGGAATTCTGCTGCCTACCGTTCTGCCTGCGATAATGGCTTCCTTGCCTGACTCAGACGTGGCTACAGCGACGGGACTGTACTCATTTTTGCGTAGCTTTGGTTTCATTTAGGGTATCACAATACCCGGGATCGTCTTTAATGCGCAATTCGATCGCTACTCCAATCGTATCAGCGACCCTGCCGTCCGCCAAGAACTAGCAGGCGGGCGGGCCTATCAGTTTGTCACTGGTACTTGTATCCATTCCCTGGAGCCCACTATCCGACAACAAGTGATTTCGGTATATCGAGAAGCCCTGAAATCAGTTTGGATTGGCGCTGTTGCGTTCGGATGTACAGGGCTTGTTGCAGTATGCGTGGAAAGACACATATCACTCCGAACGAAATTGGACACACAGTTCGGACTAAAGTCTGATAAGCTTGAAAGAACCAAGAAAAGAAGGTCTCTGTACCAGAGGACATAGAAGTGGCGCTCTAGAGGGACGGAGGCACAAGGCAAGAGAGTTTGTTGACTTTAGTTACACGTCTCGCAACGACTGAGAATTTTACCTTCTGGCTCTACGTAAAAAACACGAATTTTTCCTACGACGGATTAATTTCGTCATATTCTTTTGTAATTAGTTCCTCTCTTATAATGATATACTTCAATGAATGAGGAAGCCGTCTTTCTTCAAGTAATTGATACCGCCGATGCGATGAGGCATTGGTATGCATCCGCCTGTGCTAAAGCTTGCTTTGTATTCCTGTGAGGAGATTCAGTACTCGTTAAATATTGCATTGGTAGTCTCTGTTGGCAGTAGTCACTATATTCAATAGCTCCCAAAAGTCATTCCCTTCATGCCGATGAAGACCCAGGTAGTTTGCCTTATACTAGAGTCAAACGGGGTTTGTTCACCTCTCTGGTGAGGAACTTGCAATCGTATAACCTTACCCTAAACATTGAGGAATAGTTCTCTCTACTACTCAATTAAGTGTATGATAATGTGTCGAGCAACGTTCAGATGGAACCGAATGCTAAAAATCCAAGGGATATACAGGAGCGGTTGGAGGTTGGCTTGGGGTGGGGCGAAGAGTGTGGGTGGAGGAGGATTGGAGATGGTGGAGACAGTTGAGGGGTAATTGAAAGGATTCTATCGTACGATACGAGGAGATATATGATTACATAATACAGGAGTACAAAAAACCTGATATTAGCTTCTACGAATCCAAAAATATAAATGAACTATAAGACTTTTTATTGATTTCTTTAAAACCTCTTTCTAAAATAATAAGAATTTATCATAGAGCTAGCTAAAACGATTCTAATGTCACGGTGTGGATGCACGTGACCGATAAGTGGGTAAGCTAGGCCCTGTTGGGCTAGCTTACATCTGAAAACTCTGTATATCTTCACTTTGGAAGATCCTGTCTCGCCTGTATCGTAGCTCGAAGAGCTACGTTTTCGTCTACACCCTGTACCTACTGTTATTAGCACCATTGATTATAGATTCCTGATCCTGCCCGCCTGCCTCGTAACATCTGATGAAATTATAATATATTCTTTTAATATATATTATTATATACTAATGAAATTTAAAATTTATTATTATAAAATTTATTTTATTTTGATACCTAAATTTTCAAAAATTTCGTTATAGTAAACAAAGTAATTTATATCTTTCTTATTTTATTAAATTTATATTTTATATAGAATAATTAGCTAGAACCCGAATCGAATTCAAATTCTGAGGACGCCTTTCGAGTAGTACTGAGGCCGATTTGAATCATTTGGTATAAACCCCAAAAATAGATTTTTGCCTGAGCTAAATACGTATTTAGAATTTATAGTGTACTTTTATACTAAAGTATTCAACTCAATACACCACCTCAAAAAGATTATTAAAATAAAAGGAAAAGAGAAAACCTTATTAATTAGAATTCAAGGAATCGATTAATGAATTTATTTTCAAAATATCTCAAAAATTGAAATTTTTATTCAATTTAAAAGTATTCTAATGAATTTGAATAATTATTAACTTTGAATATTAAAGCTTTTATTATTCAAATAATATTAAATTGAATATAAATTTCAATTTTTGAGATAATTCAGAAAAAAATATATTAATCGATTCCTTAAATTCCAATTAATAATTTTATTTCTTTTTTTTCTATTTTATTTATTTCTTTAAAGTTGTGTACTAAGTTGAACACTTTTTTTCAATATTATTTAATTGTATTAGTCATACAGTCTAATCTAATCTTTGTGATAAGCGAGATAAGCAATCCTTATCGAGCTTATTTTGCTTGAGATAAGGAATCCTTATCAAACTTATCTCGCTTATTTTTCCTAAGATAAGGAATCCTTACTAAGCCTATATCGCTTATTCTAAAATGGTCTATACACTATAAGAAAAACTATTTGAATGTAGATTTTAAATATTAGTACACTTCCTATAGAAAACTTCGAAATGAATTCTAAAAACAAATAAATAAAGCTAACTCTAAGGGCTATTCAATGATATGATTTATTTTATAAAAAGTCCTCAATAAGGTTGAGTTATGTCTTTCTTTATAAGATTTCTATAAACACATCATACAGATTCTAAAATTTCCTTTTTCATTAGGCACAAATCTATTTTTGGGGTTTATACCAAATGATTCAAATCGGCCTCAGTAGTGGGGTAAGAAGTCAAAAAGTTCTAGAGCGTTGATTAATAATTTCAGATTTATAATACACAAACAACCAGTATAACAAGTGTGTCACTGACAGCACATGTGGTGGATATATCGGTTTGTAATTACAACTCATCCCTCAGAACATTACTTCGATTAACAAACACTATTTTACAATCGAATGAATTATCCTGAGTCACATTGAATACATTTCATTCAAATATCGCCATACAATAGCCATGTCTCATTTAACTTACACCAATTATGAGGGATACGGACAAAGAGCCAAACAGGATCTGTGGTATAGCCAGGCTGTTAGAGTTGGAGATGTTATTGAATGTTCCGGTCAAGGTTTGTACTCGTCATTCGCCAGCTGTTCTCAAGCTCGATGTTAGATCCTCATGTTTTACTGACTCATAGAGTATAGGTGGATGGGACCGCACAACTGAAGCCATAAGCCCCGATATAGTTCTTCAGATTGAACAGGCATTTGAAAATGTCGAGCGCACACTCAGAGTAGCCGGTTCGAAGGGTTGGGAAGATGTGTTTTCCATTAGATCATATCATGTACCGGCGGATGAAAAATCGTTGGAGACAATGGTCAGATGCTTGAAAAAGTACTGTCCAGATCATCAGCCAGTTTGGACTTACCTTGGGATTTCGAGGCTCGCAAGGGAGGATATGAAGGTGGAAATTGAGGTCAGGGCTCACGTGCCCCAAGACAAGAAAGCGTGAATCTTATGTGTTTTGACTCCGCACATACCAAATTACAAGAGAGATGATTCACGCTCCGAGCTACATAATCATTTTAATATTGTGCAACTACTTTTCTTCTTGATACATAATTCTACATTCAACTAATAAGTCTGAAACAATAAGGAAATACAACAACTCATATAATGGGAACCGCCGGTAAAGCTTTCGAAGCCCTTCAAGCAGGCAGGAAAGCTATTAAGCAAGGCCGTGAATATCATGGCAAAGGACAGGAAATCCTCAAAGGAGCTCGGGAGGTTCATGGTAAATTCCAGGAAGTTAACAAAACAGCTCAAAGCTTCGGCATAGATATATCAAAAGACGCATCGAATATACACAATAACCGTGGTCAGTTCAAAAAAGGAGCTAAAGGCTACGCACGAGGTTGTTTCTGTGGATTCTGGACCATACTCAAGTCTCAAGCTAAGAAGTATATCACATATGTGCTCTCTCTTCTGGTCTTTGCTTTCATCGCCATCGGTCTCGTTTGTTTCCTCATCGCTGTGCTTTCGCATCATCCACATTTGCAACTCCTTACATTAACGACAAAGGAAACGGTGGTTAATCATACTACGAACGGAGGAAACGTCACAAGAGTAGAGGAGATCGTGGACTATAAGATCTATCTCTTGCATTATTGTGTCACTGGTCTTACTACGGAAGTTGAGGAGATGTTTCAGATAACAAACGGCTGTCATCACTCAAAGCAAGGTATGTTATGTTTTGATAACTGTCAATTTTCTCCTGTTTACATTGATCAAAATTAGCTGATGCAGTTTCCTATCTGTTAGCATTGTATGAATACATACTACCCATCCTCAGTGCTACTATCACACCCCCACTTGCTGTTAAGGACATTCCAGGCACCACGGAGATTCAGACTCTCTTTAAACACTATGGATATTTTTCTTTCTGCCTATATATCCTTGACACCATTCTACTGCCTATTGTTGCAGTTGTATTTATCTGGTGGTTCATTAGTACCTTAACGCCCTGGAAGCGTACCTTCAGGCTTGTTCTCTGCGTAAGTCCACTTCCCTCTCTTTATGACCTCCAATTTTGCTCAATACTTACACCTAACACCACCAATACAGTTCTTCATATCCACTCTCCTCGCACCTGCAGTCCTTCAAACACTTCTCATCTACCGTGTCGTCCACATCCTCAAACATGACATCGACTTCACCAAATCCTACCTCGATATCAGTATTAAACACGGATTCCTCTACATGATCCTCGCCCACTTCTTCTGGTGTACATTGCTCTTCAACCTCATCCTTTTCCGTCTCATAGACTGGCTTCGAAATAAGAGAAAAACGAGAAAACTTGGCCAGACTCAAGCTTCCTACCAGGCTCAAAGTAGTCAAGACTCTTCTGGTTTTCACGAGGGAAACGATGGGGTTGATAATACTTCATATGATACTCAATCTTTTGAGATGAAGAAAATGCCACCTCCAAAGGATTCAAAAGATATAACGAGTATTGCGCGAAAGCCAGTGGGGTTGCAGTATGATAATGTCGACATGAATTACGGTAATGGTGATTTGGGAGAAGGAAACCCGAGGCGTAATATTGATTTCATTCATGAGAATCGGAAGAATAACCGAGATTGCACGGGGGAAAGAAGGACTTGATAACGTATAATTTTTAGACGCTAGTCTTTCAACCACTGCGGCTAGACCCACTGGATAGAATAGAAGTATGATGAGAATATAATAAAGCCATCTATGGGTATTTTTTCACAGATTACGATTCATATTACTCATCTATCGTTTGAAGATATACCTAGAATGCTGTGTTGATATTTCATATAAGATTTCTATCATTTTGACAAATCATTTTCCAGTCCATTTCCTCTCCTTGGAATAGCATTCAATCTCATTTAATCGAGTGGAGCAGATTTAAAGAACTGCTGTATTGGGAAGCATGTCTGATCAGTTTGATCAGGTATGATAGTGTCGACGTTGCATTGAGATAAAAATAATTTATGATATAATCATGAGCGAACTAGAAAGCGACTTCATGAATGCATATGCAAGATACCTCTCCATTCACAGTTTTGAAGCCCCCACTTTCTCATGCCGGCAAACGGATAGCTTGGCACAGAAGCAAAAGACCTCTGAGCTCATATGCAAGTACCCGCACTCGGTGCCTCAAAAAGTATTCATGCGTATTCCAATAGATAAAGATGTACTTTATGTCCAATGCCAAATGCATTCCTCCATTATATACAATGGTACTGAGAAATAAGTGGATCATATGTGTATGCATGAATACTACGCTGGGTCTCCTGATTGCTCTTGCACAGGGGTATAAGGGAAGACAAAGTGCTTAAAGGAAGCTGTGGATGAATGGAATTTCGTGAATTCATCTACAACATCCTCATGCCAATTTAGAATTACACACCGTTCAATAATTCTCTCCGAGATAGTTATCGACCATGCTGCCAAAAGAACTTGATACACATATCATGGTTGATTGCGAACTTGCCGGGCACCCTAACCTGATCAAACCAGCGATTACCCAGATCGGTGCCATTTTTTTCGACATTGAGACAGGAGAGGAAAAATCACGCTTTGAAGTATACCCAAGTTTACAATCCTGCCTTGACCATGGGCTAGTCCAAGATCATGTTACGATGCAGTGGGTTAACGTAAATTGTCCCCAAGTACTCAAGAGGAGTGAAGAGAGCACTGTGACTCTCAAAGAGGCATTACAAGCATTTATAGCCTGGATTGAAAGCTGTAAACATGCTACGTACGACACGATAATGAAAAGTGGTGGACGATATCAGTTTGGAAACACCCTATTGTGGGCAAACGGAAGCATGCAGGACAATCGATGGCTTCATTTCGCATATGAAACTTGCAAGTTGAAGCAGCCCGTGATATTCTGGCAGTACAGGTGCGCAATGACAGCGAACTATACGGCCAGCAAGATAACGAAACGAAACTTCCGCAAGGAAGCAGATCTAGACCGTCAAGGGCAAAAACACGATGCTGCACAAGACTGTCTGCATCAAATTGGATGGTTAGTAAAGGGTCTAAACGCATCAATGAGAAAGCAAGTCATTAGTATCCCCTTTTTTGCCTCTTCTATTCCCTCTGGCTCTTCTGTCCCCGAAAGACCATCGAAAAAGCGAAGACTCGATTGCGATGATGAATGAGAGGTAAGATGACCGATTTCAGGATTAAGGATTCATGCTGATAATGCAATAGAAGCGGGTTCATCTTGATGACACGGGGCTTTGGAAGTCGACAAGTCAAAGAAAGAGTCATCAATAGTAGGCACGATTAGAAATGTCTATTCGAAGTTTTTTGTGCTGAATGACGTTATTAATTTTCTGAAATAAACTTGAAAAGGAACATCTATCCGAGAGCCGAAAAGCCCAACAAGAGAGGGAAGGAGCTCGATTATCAATCTCAAAAGACTTTTTGTATTTGAAATGAAGGGCGACGGCGCATGAATCTACCAAAGCCCGACTAACAGCAATCTCATAAACCGTGCTATACAGCAGGCGTGCATTATCCTAGCATCATGAAAATAGTTTTGCGTCACTTCTTCCATTACTTGACTCTCGTTGGGTTTGAATTTCCAAGTGACTTGGGTGACTTGTACAGAATGAAAACGACACTGCCCCATCTAGAGACAAGGCAAAGATAGCTACAACTCCGTTGATCTACAAGCGAAAAGAACAGAAGTGACCCAAACCAGTACAGCAAAATAACCACCATTGTTTTACCAGCTGCCGCTGCTTTGACTTCTACGACGCATTATCTCCATGCTAGAATGCCTTGATCCACGGTTGCTTGAGCTAGGTGTCTGATCTCTCTGCAATCCAAGTGCATGAAAGTCTCGCTCCGCAGAATTGTAAGTTGCACAAAATAAAGCCCAGAAATCATAATCGACTACCCATCGACAGTGTCGTTTATCTAGGTTATAATTGATTTTCTTCATATAGCCCAGGAGGAAAAGAATATCTTGTGCATCATTAGCCATTTTCTGCTGCTTGTCTGGGCCAACCCGCGATAGAAAGGAGTAAGCTTTCGAGTTTAAAAGGAAATCCAATGGCATAATTCGGAGTTGAGTTTGTGGCGCCTGAAATGTCTGACTAAGTGCTTTGTCTGAGGTAATGTCGATTCCATAGCAATTCCCATCAGAAGCAATGTATCTAGATAATATCATTAGAAATGCAAGATGACTAAATTTCAGATGCAAATTTCAGAGTTTGATGGGCGTAGGGAGGTATAAATAGAGAGCGAATGCGAGAAATGACTTGGTTGATGGACATACCCTATTCCTTTTCCTGCTGTTCGAACCATTCCATGCTTGATCAAGTGATCTTCGATAACATCAATTACATCTTCTGGAACCATAACATCCACATCTGATGTGGTACGCCTATTGCCATACTGAGCCAAAGCGGTACCGCCAATCACACCATACTTGAGGCTCCCAAATGCTTTCTGCGTAGCATTTAAGACCTCGGTCCTTATTTTAGGTGACATTGGCTTTTCAGTTCGATGGGGAATCTGTGGAGGGCGGGCTCCCTGTGAATGCTGTGCGCGATGGACATTTCCGGCAGGCTGTGCAGTGGAATTTTGCAATGGAATTGAGACTGGCCTTGCTGGCCCCGGACTTCCAGATGCCCCCTTTGAACTGCAATTACCCATGTTCAGGTCGGAAAACACAGAGATATGATTATACAAAAGATATAACAGGCAGAAACGCAATGCAAATGGTACAAAGATCGGGAGAAGCGCCAGTAGAACGAAATATAAATCGTATGGGAAGCTGCCAGCAACTTTGAAGTAGAAGATACCTCTCACTGGGGAATACAAAACTTGAAGGTGTATATATAGCCATTTTTCTGCCAGTTGTGTTTCTATGTCTATTCGTTCAGAATTCCAATCGCGAAATTCTAAACTCGTGATACATGTTATCTGCAGCCGCCATGGATGGCATTTTAGCAGAGATGTGAACGCATCTTTGATTCAACTAACTCAGTTTGTTGCGTTACAGTAATTCAAGCGCCTGCTTCGTATCCCGTATGCCAATTAACCATAAGCAAGCAAGATCACAGATCTAAGCGTCCTGGCTGATGAACTTCCTTGTATTCATCTATCACAGAGTTTCGAAGACCAAGAAATTGATCATGGCGAATGGTGCTGGGTAGGTGACCGAGCAGTCGGGTTGGGACTCAAGCGCTTGAGACGGAGATCCAATTATCAAATGATGCATACGATCACTCGACAGGCTAGGATTATTCATTTCCAACCGTTAGTTGTTGACACATTTTACAAATTTAGAAATTTGTTCTCAAAGTGCACGTGGGTGGCAGAACTGATCTCCTTTAAGTGGGCGGTGACCACCCAAGCTGGTTTCTGGGTTGTCCTGTCATAACCTTATGTTGATTTCACGAGCAGCTCTGTATATATAAATACATGATGAACATGTTGCGAAACTAAACAATACCTAGGTAATCACAGCCGATCGGTATATGTCCCGTTTTGATTGACCTTCCTTGGCACGTATGAGTAATCGAATAAGAATGGCTTTCGTTTGTCGTGTACGAGTAACTATATGATCATAAGACAGAGCAGCTCAGGTACTACTTCTTTCCAGCCCTCCAAAATGATGCTGACCTATCTTAGATTGATGACACGATATCACGATACCACGAAGTCAATTCAGTCTCAGCCATGGAGAAGATCAAACTAGCTCTACTCCGATGCAATAACTTTATCAAAACTCACACTTTTTGGCCCGGAAAGTCGGATCAGAATGATCACGGGGATGATCGCTATGCGGTCTGTAAGCTGTTAGCCAGCAATAATATCACCAGCGTGATCTGGCTCGAAGATCTTCTTGCTTTGTATGGTAGTAAAACTGCAGTTTGGGATCTTCATCTCTTGGTTGAAGACACTTGTGTGGCAGCAAAGGTTCTTCTCGATAATGGGTACAAAGAAACGACGCCAGACTGCAGTTTCGAAGACGATCCAGAATTTAGTGAGCGTGCCATTCGACTTACTCACAACCATTCTTCAACTATCGTGATGCTGCACGCCGCCAAAGAATGGTATTACCAAATGGATGATAACGTACAAGACTTTCTCCCACCACTCTCCAGCTTCCTCGATTCAATGATCGAATTTTGGATCAACATATCTGCTCAGGACTACGATGATCGGCTGCGTTTTGCTCTTTATATTGGCTGTTTGATTGGTTACTGCTATTACTTGCAGGATGAAGATGGCCAGCTGGTAAAAACTCATACATACGCCGAAAACCTCAAGCCAGAGCATCGTGAGGTACATTATGATATTACGTTCGAGAGCCCCAACAAGAAAAGTTTTACGGCCACTAATCGACATACATACCATGTGAGACGGAGCAGAGAAATCAGGGAAGGTGTTTTCGTACCAAAACCGTATGAGGAGGGGGTATTTAGAACAAATTTGACGACAGTTTCGGAGCAAGAGTGAGGGTGAAGGGCATGTGTATTATGTCGAGCTTGGTATCATGGTTTATGTTGCATCATAGTCCCAAGGGTATGGCTTGATACCACTCTTATGTTCTCTAATGAATTTTTTTGTTATCAATACTATCATTCCTACATCTGAGAGTATCTTGTGCAAGCACTGCCGGAATCATAGGAAAGTCATGGCTGACGTCTAGACGCTCGAGTTTTTCTCTCAAAGTCTCAATTGGCTTCCCATCGGCCAATCTTTTATGGCTCAAAACTGTCCAGTGGTGGTGACCTTCTTGTGCCAACCCTGACAATTGATGGAACGGTTATGCCCACTGTTTATCTTTGAAAGAATACAGTTGTGAATTAGCTTAGTCGCATCGTATAAGTTTTGCAACTTTCCGCTCGCATTATCACGATAACGTCTCTAGTGTCTCTTCTGGAAAACAAATGGCAACATACTCCGCCATCACAATTCAGTATTATCAATTTCAACCACCTTCGCCATATCGAAAGTATCCACTTCACTCCTTTTGTAACCCTTCTGATTTGCTACAATTCTTTTCCCGGTTCCTCTTTCTTCAAAATCGCAGTTGTAGTGCGTATGCCCAAACGCCCAGAGCCTGACACTTGAGCTCGTCCAACATATCTTGTCAGAGAGATCTGTGACAAACGCAGACCTTACTTGATTGGAATCTTTAAGCTTCTTAGGATCGTTGGCGGCCTCGAGCATCGTCGGGCTAAAGTGCGTGAAGATCAAAATCTTTCGGCGAGGTTCATCTCGTGTTATCTCTCCCACTTGAGCATTTAACCAGGTAAGATCTTCCAGATGAGAAGCGTTGTGAGCATCAATATCCCACTCCAATGTCTCTGAGAAATCTGAGCAGAAAAGCGACACAGATTGACGTTGCTTGTCATTGACATGAGAGAAAAGGGTGCAACCTAGAACTGTCAAGCTGTCCGTAATGTCGAATCTCGTTCGATTTAGAAATACAAAACGGCCCATTTCCACTCCCTCCTGGCGATTTTCGTTCATTCTACGTTGAAAACCCAGCATAGTTTCAACGGCTGCCTTCACTTTCGTTCCGTATGCTTCATGATTTCCTTGGACGAAGAAAACAATCTCGAATACCCTCAGTTGGTCTTCGAGAAAAGCAAGAAATTCATAATCTATGACTTTTCCGATGTCGCCCAGAAGAGCCAAATATCTACATTCTGGTTGAATTTTGAAGTGCTGATATGATGGTCTCGCGCTTGGAGTCTCCAAATGGAGATCTGACATAATTTGGAACTGAACTGGAGACATCTGAGCGACAACACTGGATTGATCGTGGTTTTTGTGTGGCTACAAAATGGCAATAATTGTGGTGAGTCAAATTGAAAGTATGAATCATTCCCAGGTATGAAGATAGTTGTAATGAATTGTTGTCATATTGTCGAACAAAATAGTAGACGAGGTGGCATGCTCAGCAAAAGTTCAGGGCTACAGGGCCTAATCTACAGGAACTTACAGGGCTCAAAAATAACTACAGGCCGGCACGTAATCTTCATTGTCTCATTGGCGGGACTCACGTGCTCCTGCTACTAAGCGCATCGCTGGGCCCGTGCCATAAAGACCTTTTCTGAACATTTGTGTTACTTCATGAATGTCGCACGAGAAGCAACCTCTGCGATGATCGTGGCTATGTAAGCAAGGCATATCGAACGAAACGTATTATCCCATGGATACGGTTTACGCTCAAAATTCCTTGTTGCTTCTTTACCTACTTATAGGTTCAATTGCCGCGTTTCAAGCTCATGGGTTAAAATGCTTGCAAACCCCGAACCCAGGTGAAGCGCTTATTCGGATCAGACAAGTGTCTCTCATCCAATGATGCTACTATGCTATACAATACCTTAGATCTTAGCTCGATGGCGCGTTTCTTCTTTGCGGCTCACATACCAAGACTTTAATGACTGGTCTTCAATGATTCAATCTTAAATATGGTCGCTTCAGAGACTACCGACCTTACCAACGGCCATGTCAAGCGGACTGTTTCCTATTGGCAAACCCAGCGCATGCTACTACACTTGGCCGTCTCATGAATTTATAGAGTCATGATATGATGTACAGAGCAGAATTTGGAAATCTAGATCGATGATACAAAGGTTCTGGGCTCTTGGGGTTGACAGTAAGAATGTGTAAGTATGAATATTTAAGATCTGTATTTCCTCAGTTGTTTGCTTCCATCATCATCTCAACAACCAGTCTTTTCATCTACTACAAAATACCTCTTTCCCTCTCACTTCTTTTCTTTGGCTAGGGTCAGATTTTAGGACATTCTCTTCACAACAATCATATCATTCTTTTGCTGCTAGATCAGCTTAAAACTTTCACTTCTTCACCAATTCGAGCCACCTCCAAGGCCAAATAAGATATTCTCTCTTCAACTATTATCAAAGACGCAGATTCTGTTTACTCTGCTATTCAACACCTGTCTACTGGAAAGCCCCCTCGATCGTTATTGTATCATTTTCACCCCGTTTTCGGATACGTTCGTCCAGCACAATGTTTTCACCCAAAGGTCAAGATTATGGCTCTTTCGGTTTCGCCTTTACCATCACTCGGGCTTTACAAGCCATTTGCCTGATTTGCATTCTTAGTATGTCTGCAAACTTCATCGCAGAGATCAATTCGGTCGACACAGCCCCCCCGTCAGTTATCATTGCAACTCTCAGTATTGTGTGTCATCCTCATCCCCAGATTTTTTTCAACTCTTACTAATTTCTACCAGGTTGTGATTGTGGTTGTGTTTCTTCTTATAGGCTATCTTCTCTATCTTGAGCTCCAACTCAGCTTCCTCTTGGCTACTGCATTCGATGCAGCGGCTCTTATTGCTCTCATTGTGGTTTCTGTGAAAGTCGGAACGCCCCTCTCTTATCTAGAATGTCCTGCCCTTCCCAATGTTGGAGTGACTTCTGCATTCGTCGAATCAGCTGTCGGGAATTTCTCCAAAGCCAATTACTACTTTTGGGTCGGTGCATCGAAGACGGCATGTTACGAAATGAAAGCCATCTGGGGATTTAGCATGGCACTTTGTGTGCTATTTTTCTTCAGTGGCATAATCAACATGTGCATATGGAAAAAGAACAAGTTGGCTGCGTCGAAGAGAGATTTGGAGTATCAGGGTTAAACTAATATAAAAATATAGATAAAAAGTAGTGGTGGGGCATAGATGGGAAGAGTTGATTCGACGTGCAGAATGCCTATTGAAATTCTGAAATGATGGAGACTACGATCATGATAGGAAGCAGAAAACCGGGGATAAGAGTGAGAATGGTTGCCTCGACATGGGTACCCAAAATGAAGGCGGAAGATACTGCACCAAAACTTTCGAGGTTTGGTGTTGAATCAACAGCAAGCATAGAGAATTGGCAAGGGAGGATATGGGTTAAAGGAAAAAAGGAAAAAGGCGGGGCTCCTCTGGTGGCATGAAGGGGGACGTAATAAGTTGGACAAAATTAGTTCTCATGGTTGGGAGGTTTTCTTCTGTTAGCATGGGATCGACTGGTTAATGCTTGATTTTTGTTTTGGGTTGCAATAATCGTCAATGAGACTTAATGGACACACAATCATTTGGATTTTATACGTCACCCATCATGTTTCCTGCATCTTATGAGTGAAAGAATAAACACCCAAACTACTTTCGAGTCCTGGGCCTGGCTCACTCCGGCCCCAGAATCTGGAAACTAGCTCCGTCCACGGCCCACCCCGCCATTTGACCTGTCAAGTCTAATAAGTAGTCTTCCGATCTATTAGCTTCGCGGATCGAATTTTTTTAATTCTTCGACCCGTCCCATGTATTTAGTTGCCGCACCATACCCGGATTCCGAACCGGTAGTATACATTGACCCAATTTTGACAAAACAAAAATTCACTGAATTCATCAACGACAATCTCACCAAACAAGAATGATTCATTTGCCAAAAACGGCATCGGTACTCATTGGCTCCCAAATAATTTGGAATTTCCATCGCCAAGCGAGGCAGGGTAAACGTAACGTGTACCACGTACTGCAACACAGCACAGCACAGCACATATAACAGGACCAAGGCTTTGGGAAAAGTGATCGGTACCAAGAAGCAAATCGTGCTATCGTCTGCACATCATCTGTTTGTGTGTGGCGGTAAGATATGCGTAATGACCTGTTGGGTATGATGATTGGATGAACGAAAAGAATTGTGAGATCTTACAAGCAACCGGAACTCCGCGAATCATTTGGGGTTGGCTATGGTAGGTGCGGAATGGTTTGATAGAGTTATGATGAGGGTAGGTAGATGCCTTTTCTACAGTCTGAGAAAAGGTTGCTCTGTTCGGGAATCTTTGGATTGTTTTTTGGAGGAGACAAGATGGCTTATCTTTTGCTTTTCTTCACAAGAATCTCATCATTTTCTTACTAGATATTGCTTGGTTAGCGATCATATAAAATTAGCTACACAAATGATTTTTTGGGATTAGTTTTTCATTCATCTCAATGCGAATAAATAGATGCCCAGCTTTTGACAAGCTTTAATCAATGATCATTTCTTTTTTCGAACCCTTTTCGAAAGAATATTGTCAACTAAATCCTGCTTTGAAGAAAAAGAAAAGGCATGACAAGAGGCCTGTGTTGTATGTACGTGTGTAGTACGACGCATCGGTCAAGGAAATTTAGATGCTCTTTTTGATGGAAGAGGCGTCTTCCGTTTGTAGAAGCGAGGATCAAGGGAATGGATGTTTATCTAGTATTATCTACCTCTAAACTTTGAATCTTGGGTAGCATTGAAGATCTTGGTAAGAATTGTATCATACATGTTGAAGATGACCATTCCACTCACTTGCTGATATGACTGACTGTATCTCCTCAAAAGCCATCAATCAATCATAGGTAATTAGCTGCCACTTTGCATATTCCATGTCATCGGTACCAATAAAAACATCACAGGGGAGACGGGACTATTTCTCGGTAGAGTAGTAGGCTAGTAGGCTCGTAGGCTAGTAGCACTCCATTATAGGCTAACACTTAAGCCTGGCATCCCAAAAGTCATCGATCCGCTTGGACCTAAAGTCTTACATTACGAGTCTACCACCTTGTACAAATCAGCGGGCAAAAATTGATTAATCATTTTCAGCTGTGGTCAAGATGGGCCAATTACACCTTATCTTAATTCTGGATGATATATATCCATAGTGATACCAATATGGTCTAGTAGTAAGTCAGAAGCTGGGTGGATATATACTTCTTGTTCCTACTGCGCCTCTTCTGAAGCATTGCTCTCTATCTCTATCTAAGATATCAAGGAAGTCTATAGAGATTTACCATCTCAATCTTCATTTTACCATCGACGCAAACATGGCCAAAACAATATTCACAACGATTACACCTCTCCCTCCCAATGTTTCCCGCCAAACGGTTCTCGACACCCTACACGATCATCTCGAAATGATCGATCTCAATCCATCCCACGCCGAACGCACACCCACAAAGCCCCCTTCCTCTGCCACCCCTGAAGAATACCACTGTCAATGGTATCGCATTACCGACAGAATAGCCTATCTACCCGGCAATCTCTACACCGGCACCGTATCCTTCAACGCCTGTTTCCACGATCTGGCAAATGGACTACAAACACATTGCTATGCGCCCATGGGCTTAGACATCAAGGAGAAATGGACGATCGAGGGAAACATGCCTGGAGAACCAGCCGTTCCGAGAGAAATCGGCATTAATGCGCCGGTGGAGGGACTATACATCCGAGAACATGTAGAGATGAAATGCAACATTTTTATGACTAGATTCGTGCGGAAAACCTTGCAGGAATGTTTGAAAGCGCTGGTGGCTCGATTAGTCGTAAAAGCGCAATTGCAAGAGGCGCATGAGAGGAACAGGAGATTAACGGTTGGGAGCGCAAGTGGATATGAGCGGGAAGGTGATACGATGACGCCGCCCTTGAGTCCTCCATTGAGAAGCCCCGGAATGGCTTCGGGGGGTAGCGTTGGCAGGAGAGGAAGTGCATATAGTGGAATGAGTGCCCCGACGAGTCCTCCGTTGACCCCTTACAATCCTGAGGAATGGGCCGAGGCGGGCATGAAGGGCCATCCGGCTTTAAACCCGTACACACCGCTTCAATTGCAGCAGCAGCAACAGCAACAGCAACAGCAATTATATCAGACGCATCATGATAGGAAGAGTTACGGGGGACAAGATCAGAGATGGTCGGGCATTAGTGATAAGACACAAACCTCTTTGCCCGGTCCTCCAAACTATGCGAATAAACCTGTCAACTACACGAATAAACCTAGCAGAATATCCGAAATGGAAGCGCCGCCCGGCCCGGTTGAATTGCCGTAGGCGAAGAGGAAGTAGGAGGTATGAAGAACAAGATCTCAAGGATAATTGTCGGTAATGGATGAGAAGAATTGCTCGATTGATATGGTTAATGAAAGAAGGAGGATTATCATCGGCAAAGGGTTTATGGGGTTCTGGGCAAGGAGTTTGATACCACTCACCAACACCGAAGCATCTGCTTCGAAGGCATACCCAATTGTATGACCTTAATACAACCAAGACAGACACATGCATCGGACTGTCGTTTCAGGAGACCATGAAGAAAGAATAGTCATCATGACAGGAATGGAAAAAAGGGATCGACGGATTAAAAACTGGCCGTTCGTCTAGTGTGTTGGCGAAGCGCCATGTGATGGCACGTTTCTTGAATGTACATTAACGACGATTTATGACATTGGGAGGAAAGAATTTGGGTAATTTCGAAATGTTTGGAGCCTTGATCATATAATAAGTTTTTCTAATTATTGAATTTATTTCGGCGTAAATGTCATCCTAAATCATGCATGAACATTCCTCATGGGAAGTTACATGTGTTTGCATAATCTTGAATTCACAATAATGACGTTCAAGTTCCCCATGTCTCAGAGGTCGGCTGTGAACAAAATGAACAAATTTTATTGAGGATCTATGTGTACAAACAAGCCCCGCATCATACACGCTCATGCCCCAAACCCCTCTAAATTCCTATCTATGATGCCATTCTGCTCATATCGTTTCTTATACGTTGGTAATCGAGGAGACCTAAATATGTCAGTAAAAAATTCAAAGAGAAGTAATGGAATAAGAAATTGTTAGGCATACCTTCAATCGAACCAACAGCACTAATTGCAATATCTTGATCCCACAACTTTCTTTGCGCAAAGCTCATAACATCCTTTTCGCTAATGGCCCCAATAACACGCTCAATCTCCTCTGGTCCCATACGACGGCCAGTGGTGATGATTTGTCTTCCAATATCTTCAGCGACGGCAGTGGTGCCGTCTAAGGAAAGAAGAATGGATGCCTTGAGTTGAGCCTTGGCACGCTCAACTTCGGCCTCGGTAACGTTATATGATAGACGAGACCATTCACGGAGAGTAAAGTGAACTAAATCGTCAATACGGGTGGTCTTGTCGGTGACAAGATAGATACCCCAGAGTCCAGTGTCGCTGTAACTTGTTGAGAAACTCATAAAGCTGTTGGCCAAGTCGTTCTTGTGGACGAAACCACTGAGCTTGCTACCCATGTGAGGAGCGTTGCCCATAGCTTTGTCCCAGTTACCGACGATAGCTTGGGTAACCAAAGCAGTAAAGTAATCATCATCTTTCCAGCTGACACCCTCGACAGCGATGGCAATGTTGGCAGTTGGGATGGTGTCGTCACGAACTCTGACCTCAGAACCAATAAATTCTGGCTTTTGCTTTTGAGCGTTGGCAATGGCGAGAGCAGCGCTGGAATGTGGTTGAGATGCAAGACCAGCGAAGTGCTTCTCAGCGAGTTCAACGAGTTGCTGGTGGGGAACACCTCCGGCACCAACAAGAACCATACGATCAGCAGTGTAGTTTGTCTTAATATAGTTGGTCAAGTCCTCTCTTTGAATGGATTGGATGTTTTGAGCGGGTCCCAAAATGGTACGTCCTAAAGGTTGTCCTTGGAAAGCAGTTGCGTGTAAATGATCGAAAACGACTTCCTCCAATTGCTTATCAACCTCCTCGGATTCTCTCAAAATAACATCACGCTCTCTGTTGATCGCCGAGGGTTCGAGTTTGGAATTTTGGAGAATATCAGAGAGAATGTTGACAGTTGCTGGTACGTCAGAGTTGAAAGCCTTGGCGTAGTAAACTGTGTTTTCACGCTTCCATAAAATTAGCAAAGTGCCCGCGCTATTCAGATGAATGTAAACATACGGAAGTGTAGGCATTCAAGTGACCACCCATGTTCTCAATTTCCAACTCCAATTGATGCTGCGTTCGGTTGCTGGTTCCCTGTTTTCATTGTAAGCCCAATTGAACTTTCCACCCCAGACTGAAGTATACCTTGAAGGCAAGATGTTCCAGGAAATGAGCAGTGCCATTGGTCTTGTCGGTTTCTGCCCGAGAACCGGCATCGATCCATACACCAACTGTCGAGGTTTGTGCCCATGGCGAGTGTTCTGTAGCGATCTTTTCTCTTATCAGCACTTTGCCCCTCCATCATTCATATACAAAACTTACCGTTAGACCGTTTGAAAGAGTTGTGGTCTCTGTCTTGACGCCATTTTTTGTGACTGGAGTCGCGAATCCTCTTCTCAGTCCAGATACGACATTTGGAGCAGCGCGGGTGCGCAGTCCTTTTGTAAGGTTTAATGCTAACCGCCGAGACGCCATAGGGATATGATGTGAGGGTTGTGGTGGAAATAAAACAAATTGAAGATAACCCGATGAGTTCAAATTACTAGAATTTAGTAAACCTGAAGAGCTTAGTCGTTGATCATATTTCGACCAATCAAATTTGTTCCGGCTTTGATGACCCTACACGTGACTTGTTGCCGAGCTACCTAGTTATTCCGAACATCGTCGACCGAGCATTGAAGGACCTGAGTGATATGTCGTCGACTCTTTTACACTCAATAATTGTAATAGAAATTCACAATGGCTTCATTCATCAAACCATCAGTCATTAGGCAGACTTGCCTCGCTGCGTCGAAGCGCAATTTCTCTACAAAGATCCCCTACAGTTTCCCCGCAATCAACAAGCCCGCTGGTCGCAGTACTTTTGTTCGAGATGCATTGCCAGGTTCAATGCGTGTAGCGGCATTCCATGCAAGTGGCAGACAATCAATTCTACCCCCATTACCTCGTGAGCTTTCCGCGATTGATATGCCTTGATTTTATTGCTAACTACTTCACAGAATCTATTGATGGAACTTGTATGTTGATCCGCCCTCGAGCCAATCCACCATAAACTAACAGTCTATATAGCAAACGACGCAGCACCTGTACCCAAGCCATCCCCATCCCACGGCTCCTACCATTGGACTTTCGAGCGTTTAATCGCCGTTGGTCTCGTTCCTCTCACAGTCGCCCCCTTCGTTTCCGGATCATTGAATCCAGCTACCGATGCTCTTCTTTGCGCGGCTATTCTTATCCACTCACATATTGGCTTCGAGGCGTGTATTATCGATTATTTCCCGGCAAAGAGAGTGCCAAAAACTAAAGCTTTATTTTGGTGGGGCTTGAGGGGAGCAACTGTTTTGGTTGGAGTTGGATTGTATGAGTTCGAAACAAACGATGTCGGAGTTACTGAGGGTATCAAGAGAATTTGGCGTGCATAAGAGGGCCGGGAGGAGTTTGTATTATTCAAGAATAAGCAGCGTACACGCAGTACAATATTAAGGCTGTCCAACACATGTCACTTTAAGTCCAGTCAAGTGAGATCGCCATTTGCCTAAAATTTTGACTGTTTGCATAGCAAAATATTGGTTCTCGCGGTCTTTTCTAAGCTTGAAAAGTAACATCAAAGAAAAGTATATTGGCAGAGAGTGATGCCAGCTTCTCAAACCTCTACCTTGACGAATTGCTGCACTAGAAACACTAGACTCACATCGAGTACCTCACTACGCTTTGATTTTTTTTAATGCCTTTGCATACATCTCGTCATTATGACAACATATCTCCAGTACAGGATACTCCGTTTTGCTACAATCTCGGAAGCCCGAACCAGAGAATGTAGAACAGGAGGCAATATCTCATTCAATCGCCAGTGTGTTATGCAAAGTTGATTTGTTTGTCTTGACGCGCATTTATGAAAGGGGAGCAGGAGATCGTTGGAAGATGTGTTAGAAAACTAAGTCCATTTTGTTTTGCATCATGGTGGTGGAACTCTCGCACTGAACCTGCTTGCTGGGTTTGTCAAAATCAATCACAAATACCTGTATAAGAAGCGTTCCTTCAAAACCATGATACCCAATCTCGCCGTGAGACACGATTCAAACAAGCAAAGAAGAGTAGAGAATAGAGTTCGAACAGCATGACTCAATTGAGGGTGAGCAAAATTCCAAAAAATTGAAATCATGTAATGTAAACGATCCCGTTTCCAATTCAAACCAGACGAACTGAGTTCTTCAATCAACAATGTCTTCGGATGTTAAGCAGCGGTCCCGTTTGAGGGGATGTGAAGACCCAGTGCGTTACCACTAAGCCATCTGGACTTTGTTTCTTGGTGAAGTGATATGGATTGTTTATATTTATATAGTTAAGCGAAGAGCCTCACTTTTATGTCCTGTCACTTTGTACCTGTCCGCGGGTGCTACTTACTATTTGTATGGATTACCTACCTAGGTACCCGTGGACCTAGGCCTAAGTCCGCACTGCCTCATGCAACACTGAGCCACAGTGAGAACTTAACTTCTTCGGTATTTTTGTTGATCAAGTTAAGGTTTCAATTTGTCTTTATCATTGCCATATTTTCGAAGGCGCCTCTATGAGCAAGACAGCATTATGCCACAGAATAGAGTATACAGACTTCCAACTTGAGAAAATAAGAAACCAATGTGAGTCTAGCTCTCCCCTTTGACCTGTCTAACCCCCAATCCATTCCAACGCCTGTCTCCATTTCCCACAAAATCTCTCACCACCAATAAAAATATCGAGTACGATTGGTATGGGGTTTTCGATCATCACAAAATAGTCACTGAGGCGATTTCTTTCCTCTTTGCCCACAATCCTCTCTCAGCTTCATGCATATCCTCTACCTTTTCCGACTTTCTCGATATCGCTCGGAAATATTGCAATGAGTATGAAAGAATTCCAACAGAGGCCTGTTGGTTTACGATCCGTCTCCCCAAACCGAGTGATATGTTTGTGATGCCCAGGTGGCATCAAGATGCGAGAATGTTCGACTGCACCTGTCTCCATTCTCATTCGGGACACGAGGACGAGGGATCCAGCAGCGACCCTAAGAAGGAAAAGGAAATTCACAGTAAATACGCCACCACACTCCTTGGCCCTTGCACTCGACTGCTCCTAGAAAGTTATTTTCTCAGAAGTAGTATGGTTGAATTCATGGGTTTGAGTCGTGAAGAAGAAAGGATTCTATTGGCAAAGCGGTTTGAGAATGAAGATTGTGTTAGTTTGGTGGTGCGAGATATAATTCGTTTTACTTGGGGAGATGAAGATTCACCTGTTCATTCGGAGTCGGATACCAGTTGCAGTGATAGGGTGTTTGTTAGCTTGATGTTTGGCAGTAAAGAGGAGCTTAGACAAATGTGCAAGTGGCGGCATGTGGAATTCAGACCGTGAAAGATTGATTTCAGATGAAAGAGTCGACGACCCTTTTTATTTACACACGATTCACTTTATCAAAACTGCGCCTTGTCTTCAATACGTACAAATGGCGATAAGACAGACAAAGCAGGTAGAGCTGGAGGATATGCCGGGCCTCCGTATTCGTTGGCAGGTTTTATAAAGGTCTTTTTTCGTGGATAAGAAGAAAAGAAATATGAGACATGTAACTAGTGAATAAGTTGCGCATCATTGTCAAATGAAGTGATTTGATTTTTCGTCTGTAAGTGACATGTTCATTAAACTATGGGTTCAGGAGCCGACATAACCCTCGCCGCTACTCTCAGCAATCACCACGAACTAAACTCCATACTCCTATCCAAAAATCAATACACGATCAATTTCAGGCGAACCTTCCAGCAACACGCTTCTGTTTCTTGTTCGATTGTCCGAGTATCGCAGATCTAGAATTAGAAGGAGAACCCTTGAGAGTCTGTTCATCTTCCTGAGCTTGTCTGTTGGGGTTACGGCCTGCTTTCATCTCGGACTTTGAGATCAAGGTAGAAGCAACTTGTTGTGTGGAGCTTCCGAGTTTGCGTTTTCGGGAATCGGCAACATTAGTACTTAGTTGAGTTTCTCGGAGCGGGGGTTGAATGATGGGAATGCCATTCTCATCTAACTCTTCTTCTTCATCTTCTGCCCCCTGTACAAACTCCACTGCCCGTCCCATTGAATGATTGATCATTATCATTTCATCTTCACTCTGAGAACCGGGAGTCTGCAGGCCGGTCTCATGATCTTGGTCATCAGTATCCACAACCTCAGTACGCGTGTGTAAAAGTTGCATGTTAACGTTCATTATAACTTCTAATCCCTTTGGAAGCTTTGGGAGTGAAAAGTCGAAACCGGAGAGGATAGCTTTGGTTGTGCGTTGGAGGAGAGTTTCCTATTTTTTTTTTAGTCAGGAGAGTGCAGACATAAGTAGCTCGAGATGATGCGCAGATACAGAAGATGAAGTATCAGATCAGAGGCAAAGAAAAAAGTTTCAATGCATACTAGAAGACTTACCAATTCTGGCCCTGCATTTGTCTCATTCAATTTCTGTTCAATGGCAGCTAATTCCCTGGCTTGATCCATCCGACGTGCGAGACGTGATCGATTTTCGACGAAAGCAACGACTCCCTCTTTAACAGTGGGCTTCTCTATACCGGCAGCTGTAAGTTGTGCCAAAAGCTCTTTGACAGTGAGCTTGTTGAGATCCATGCTGCTTTGTTAGTATTTTATGGCGCGAGTCGAGAAGGGAGAGGTGAAAGCGGATGATTGTGTATTCGTTTTTTTCTCAGCTGAATGAAAGCATGAACTTTAGGGATTGAATATATGCTATACTGTAGATGAGAATCAAGAAGGTAATTTGTTTGTCATTAAATAGATGGGTGAATGAGAAAGCCGTAGAATTAGCGTTCTTGTGACTTTTCTACAGTGCCGTAGAGGTGAATTCACCGCGTTAAAGAGAGCCAATGAGATGAGATAAAATGCCAACAATGAATCGAGCGGAGTTAATTTCTGGAGCTTTAAAACTTTAGGTTGACTTGTATTAATTTGAGGGGTGCAATGTGCCTACCTTTGATCGGGAGGACTAGCTAGCAGCTGATGTGGTGATAGCCCTCCCCATACACAGAACTCAAGAACCATGGACTTTTTGAATAGTAGAAAGGAATATTCGGTCTTGAAAGTGGTGCAGTCAAGTACATAACCGCAGTAAGTATTTATGGTTTCAAGAAAGAGACATTGCTTTTAGAGTTGATCACTAAAGCAGGATACACATTTGCATCTTTCTGGAATAATTTTGAAAGATATTCTGTCATAAAATATAACATTGTGAATCACGGAAATTAAAGTCTTTATTTCCTTTAGAAGACAAAAACTACGCCTCTATACACTCAGCACATTATGTTGGGTTAATTTGACTTGCCACAATCTGTAACATCCTCACATGCAATATCATAAACACTTACATTTATTTCAACAAGGCACCAGAATTCAGCGGCACAATCGTAACAACTTTACTCAGTTGATATCTCAAGACTTTTGAAATGCCATGTATGATTTATCTTCCTTTCATCAGATACAAAAACCTACTCAATTAGATTCTATCTCAATCCAAATCTAAGCGAGAAAAGACCTAATTCAACAAGACCAAATCCATCTATCTACCATCTCAAACCACAAATTTGTGTGAATAAGCTGATCTAATCAATCAAACAGAATGGTAGAATCAAAGGCATCCATAAGTGATAGTATCTCCACTTAACTTGCCCAAACTCCATTGATAAAGGAAAGTTCGTTGACGGCCCCCCCTTTTCTCCCATCAACATTGTAATCCAGTAGTCTAATGAACAGCAACTCCAATCATCAGTTTGCTAACCTATAATAATCACTCCCAAGAGTATTTACAAGTACACAATTTCGTCTCAACATTGTTGATCCACAACAAAGTTCATCACCCGGCCGATGTCTCGAGTGACTAGTCTTCCCAAAACCAGATCCTCTCCAACTTTCTCAAGTCAACTTCTTAACAACACCACACCACAGCATCTCAGCCCACCAACAACCTTCAAAGAAAAGTAAGTCTTCTTTCTTCTAACAATACAATTACTTGATATTCTTGCAAGTGATTATTGATGAAACTCTTTCTTATCACAAGTAAAAGTTTCACACTCCTTCATACTCGTTCATTGCATTCTTACAATCTTTGCTCTACACTGCAAATTACTAACGAAAAACAAATCATAGCTCACATAATCACAAGCTTTTAACGCACAATCAAAATGACAGACCTCTCCCCCTCAAAAGACTTGGTCCAAATGGAAATCGACACCACTTCCGCCACCGTCGACTCCACCCCCTCCGCAAACTCCACTCCCACCAACGTAGCCGCCGCCACCGCCGCTACTGCTGCTGCTGCTGTTCCCCAGTCAACAATGGTCTTTGACGAAATGCTCGCTGAATACCAAGACGAGAGAAATGAAGAGTACCACTACGATATCATCCCCATTCCCGATCTCCTCCGCCATCTCCGCGAGCGTGGTATTCGACCATCTTTCAGAGATGCAATGGTTGTTATGCTTCTTACCGATGATGAGAACCGTTCTTTGGCCCGCCAAAACGTTCGTTTCACGCCTGGTACTGCCAATTGTTTCGTCGCCGAGAATTCCAATCTTGTGTACGAGGAGGAAGTTTACTCAGAAAGCGAAGTTGGAGATGCTTCACCAGATTCCCATGTTCAGGCCGGTGATGATCAACCTGACAATGAGCAGGTTGATAAGGCGGATATGATGGACGTCGAACAATCAGAGCTTTCCGTAAGTCACATCCTATACTTGAATCAAATGAGGCGAAAAGCATGAACGAGTAACTTTCTAATGCTTCAACACACAGTCCGATCATTCTACTCAACATGAAGCCTCCGAGGAGCTTTAGACCCTCTCTTCCAACAACCAATCTCATTAGCTCGGGAGAAATCTATACATTCTCGAACTTTCATCTTGGATTGAGCCTATTTTCGTGGGGCCAGCGGTTCGAGCAATTCAGGATCTTCGTTATGGATATGGTCACTTCTCACATGCTACGGATATGGAATTGATAGTTATTTTCGGGGTCAATGGGAGGAATACTTTTTTCATAGGATACACATTGGCGTAATTGAGGATATTTTGTTTTCTAATACAAGGAGCTCATGTACCCCAAATGTACCCCAAATGCGGGGGATCTACATGCATCTAACCTTAGCGGCACTACTAGTCTAGCAGTTCTACTAGCCATAAATAGAGTTTAAATCCACAACATTGACCCAGTTTCTCGACGGTGGCAAAGCATATATCAAATCATGACATAAGAATGATAAGATAATCCTCGAGAACCTCAAACATACCAACAAAAGATCAAAATGAAGTGAAATGACACGAAAATTCCCTACCAAACATGAATCACAATCATAACCATGATTCCGAAGCTCTAATAGTTGCTCGTTATCATAAGAAAAATCCGGATCCAAATACAACCCTGATATGGACCGGGATCTTCGATCCTTCTTTCCGGGTGTTGATACTTCCTCGATATCTGGGTGTGCAGACGGCCATTGTACCTATTCCCTCTTCTCGACGCATAACGAGTTCAGAGTACGAACAGGAACAGCAGAAACTGCGAGAACAGCAACAAGAAGAACGATCCAAAGAATCCGAATCCAAAAATACTCTCCCGAGCTCGAGTCCCACACCAAGCATCCATAGTTCCTGTTCTTGTTCCTGTTCCTGCACCTCCGAATCCTCGCATTCCACACTTCGTACAAGTAGTTCTTCATCCGATTCCTCGTATACTTCCATTTCTTCGACTACGATTTCCTCAACTACAAGTTCTACACATATCCATATCCATACCCACCCCCAAAATCCCAGCATAAACATCTCAAAAAAACAACCTCTCCATATCCCCCAACTTTCCCCGAAAAGTCTCGCAAGTCCGGATCATTTCTCAGAAGTACAAGATACGCCGACCCGGACTTCGACGCCCAAGCCCTCGCTGGATATACTCTCAGATTCGAATACAGATTCGGATTGTGATGATGATGATTATGAAGGTTTCGTTGATGAGGACGATGATTTCCAACCGGTAATAAAGGATAATGAAGAGGAAGATTCAGCAATATGTGATCTCATGGAGGGATTTCGCAAGATGAGTATATGAACTTTAAAGAAAGGGTTAGAGAGCTTTTGGGAGGGATAGAGTCGTGGAATTAATCGTGGGGCATATTGGGTGCTGCATGAGACATATTCAAAGAGTATATCCAAAGTCATGATTTGAGGATCTTTCTCTCATTGATACTCGGCTGCTAGATTGCAGTATATCCAGACATTCTCTATACGACTGCTTATTGTGGAATACGCGAAGAAGACAAATCCACTCACTCTCCTAATATGGATTCCCAATCCCCGAATCCTCGCTCCTCGATATCAAACACCTCTTCCCACATATACACACATATTCACAAATATACATAGTTCATCCCAGACACGAAGCAGAACAAATAATACGCGAGACGAATCGAAACGTCCCAACCGGAAACCTACTTAACAACAACCTCCGCGGCGCAAAAACAAACCGCAAACAGCAAACAGCTTCGATGTAATCCTACACATCTCAAGAGGAAAACACTCCAGTACTCAAGGAGACGAAACAAAGACGAGAAAAAGGGGAAAGAGACGAGGACTCACTTCTCTACATATCTATAATACATCCTCTGTATATAAATAATCCTAGGGGGTATTAGTATACTGTATATTTATGTTATAGTACTATCCATACCTACCTACGTATAATATATCATATTCATCGCAATCGCAAAAAGAAGCACGCACTTAAAAACATAAAGACAAACTTTCTTCTCTCTTCCCTCTCTCAATCTCAATCTCAACCTCCAAATCCCACATAGCAAAAGAAGATCTCCACAGCCCAACAACCCAACAACCCAACCCTCAATATCAATCTCAATCTCAATACCAATATCCATCTAGAAGTATATGTAATATCCAATACACATACACAAACAAACCCCCCCACACACAGAAAGAAAAATGAACCAACCAAGACAGACAGACAGACAGGCAGGCAGGGAACGAAACTGGGAAAGACATATCACGTATACCCCATCTATCACACATCACACATCACACATCACACATCATATACATCATACATCATATATCTCATACCCATACCCATACCCATACCCATACCCATAAAATCATTTGCTTAAAAAAGAAAAATTCGAATATCATCACTAGTAAACAATCATAATCATAATCAAAATCCCCAAGCATTTCTCTCCTAGAAACTTCAAGTATAAATCCTCTCTTTAGATTTCTCTTTTTAAACCTCTAATCTCCAATCCCCAATTCTCATCCCTCATACCTCATACCTCATACCTCATACCTCATACCTCATACCTCATACCTCATACCTCATACCTCATACCTCAACATCCCACACACCCCCTCCCCCCCATCCAACAAGCGATCTATCAAAAAGCCGAGCGAGCGAGCGAGCGAGCAAGCTAGTTAACGAGCAAGCTATGTAGTATAAAGTAATCAGTCCCCTTTTCTAATTTCGACTCCCGAGATCATCTTTTATTCATCTTTATTTCATTCCTATTCCTATTTCTATTCCTATTATTCTCATTCCTATTGCTATTCCTATTTCTATTTTTA